TCTTCAACCCCCCTCCTTTTTTTTTTTTTTAACTAAACACCTAAGTGTATGCAGTGTTGCTGAGTCCTCTAAACCCTAGCCTTTAGTAGCTCAAGTATAAGGCAAGCACAACAAATTAGGCTAAAAAAAATATAGGCAAATTAAATGGAATAAAAAAAGGAAGATTTCTAATGTTTTGTTCCCCCTCAGGGTCTTTGCACACACTATTTCCTCTGCATATACCATCTTTCTAGATCTTCCTTCAAAATGTTTACTGAATCCAGTCACTTCTTACACCTTGATTAGAACCAGCTGAAGTCCAAGCCATTCTCATCTTGCACTTGGCCTGCAGCAACTCCTCCTAACTGGGCTCTGACCTTTCTAGCCCCTTTCTAAAATCAGTTATCCACACAGCAGCCAAAGTGATTCTTTAGAGCAGTGGTTCTCAACCTTCCTAATGCCGCGACCCTTTAATACAGTTTCTCATGCTGTGGTGACTCCTAACGATAAAGTTATTTTCGTTGCTACTTCATAACTGTAATTTTGCTACTGTTCTGAATCGTAATGTAAATATCTGATATGCAGGATGTATTTTCACTGTTACAAATTGAACATAATTAAAGCACAGTGATTAATCACAAAAACAATATGTAATTACATATGTGTTTTCCGATGGTCTTAGGTGACCCCTGTGATAGGGTTGATCAACCCCCAAATGGGTTGTGACCCACAGGTTGAGAACTGCTGCTTTAGAGACATAAATCAGATCACTCCACTCCCTGGCTCAAAACCATCTGATGAATCCCCTAACATTTAAGTGAAAGTCCAAAATCCTTACTTTCATCCCCAAAAACCTGACTTCTCGTTACCTCTCCAAGTTCCTCTCATATCACTCTCTCCCTTGCTCACTGCCCTCTACCCCACTAGCCTTCCTTCTTGAAGCTTCGGGGCTCACGATATAAGCTCCCATTTTGAGGCCTTTGTTCTTGTGCTCCCCTCTTAGAACATTCTCTTCCCCCAATATCCACTTAGCTAGCTCCCTTACTTCATGCATGTCTCTACTCAGATGTTACCTCATTCAAAAGGTTTTTCCAGATATCCGAAAGTAATGGTCTTTGCACTGTCATTTACCCTGCTTTATTCTTCTTCCTAGCACTTACCACTGTCAGACATCTATAATAATAAAAGTATAATATGCAAATCGACCAAATGACTGAACAGCAGACCATCAGGACAACTGTACTATGACACACACCGACGCCAGGCCAGCCAAGGTGGGTGCGATGCAATTAGTCTGGGGGCCCCACCATCACCCCATGATCACCCTGCAGGGGGAGATCCAGGCAAAGCAATCAATTTGGGGGATGGGGGAGCTCTGCAATCACCCCAAAGAGGGAGGCTACCCTCTGTACAGCGATTTATCGCAGAGCCCCGGCCGGGTGAGCAACTGCATGAAAGTGGGAGGCCCAGGTTACCCGACTAGCGGCACTGTGTTGGGTGGGCAGGGCCTCCCTCTGCAGGGAGATCAATCTGGGGGCACCGCAATCTGGGGACCCCACAAAGGGAGGCCCAGGCCACCGGCCAGCAACTCTGTGGCGCGTGTGCGGGGCCCGCCAGCAATCGCCCCACAGAGGGAGGCCCAGGCCAGCCAAGCAATCACATTCCATGCCTGTTGCCTGCAGAGGGTGGCAACTGGTGTGGGGGAGGGAGGAGGCAGCACCACACAAATGGCAAGCAGTGGCAGCAGCAGAGGCGAGGCCAGCTGCCGGCAGCCAGGGGAAGGAAAGCCCCAAAGGCCCTGATCACTGGCCAGGCCTAGGGACACTACCCTAGGGGTCCCAGATTTCGCAGGCCAGGCTGAGGGAACACCCCCTCGCCCCCCATACACGAATTTCATGCACCAGGCCTCTAGTTTTATTATAAATCAACTAGAGGCCCGGTGCATGAAATTCGAGCACGGGTAGGGTCCCCAAGCCTGCCTGGCGATCAGGCCTGATCAGGGCCTTCTGGCTGCTTGCTGGGGTCTTTGTTCATTCCACACTGCCCCCTGGTGGTCAGCACACATCATAGCAGGCAGTCTAACTTCCGAGGGGACAATTTGCATATTAGCCTTTTATTCTATATGAAGATTTGTTTACTATTAGGATCTGTATCCCTCACTAGAATGTAAGGTAACTGAGGGCAGGGTCTGCTATGTAACTGGCTGTGTCCCCAGCTTCTGTGACAGTGCCTGGCACACAGTAGGCACTTGATATTGATTTGTCAAATGACTCTTGGCATGGCTAGCTCCTTCTCATTCAAGTCTCAGGCCAAATGTCACCTCAGAGACTTTGTCTCTGACTCCTGGTCAGAAGTAGCAAGACCTCCTTTGTCTTCTTTATTTGGTTTACTTGCTTATTGTCCTTTTATGTAGCCCCCACCCCCCCAGCAGGGACTTGTTGTCCTCTGGGTCCCAGTGCCTGAAACAGTGCCTGGCTCATAGAAAGTACTCAGCCAATGGTTTTGAGACAATAATGAAACATATGGTGACTGGAGAGGAAGTTGCAAATACACACCTACCTCCTTTCCATACTCACCTTTTGGACACAGGAATCCACAGAATTAGGAATATGTTCTCCATTTGGATGCTTCTCACCAGGCCTTGCCCCTTCTTGTGATTGTGTTTGCACTTGAGACATTCCATTCTTCTCTACTGAATTTTCAGTGCGTTCCAGGGAAATAGTCACAAGTTTGTCGTCAACCGAAATTTGGTGCTTTCCTTTTTCCAAAACTCCCTTCTTAGCTTCAGTGGAGACATTAAACACACACATACACAAAAACAAGGGAGTGATGTCAAACAATCCTCTATTCAGGCACCTGTACCCTGCCCAAGCACCCTCCCAGTGAGGGCTGCTCCCTACTTGCTGGGAGGGTGTTTATGTTAGGGAATGTGAGGAAACTATTCAAAACTCTCACATGGCAGCTTCAATCTTCTTGCACAAATGAAAGCTCAAGGATAATAAAACATTGACAACTCGTGACAAGTCATGTCTCTGAAACTGTCTCGGGTTCCTTTTTCAATCAGATGGCATAGTACTCACATAAAGTGGATTAAAAACAACAAGAGGTAGTCAGCAGTGCAGACTCAGAATTTTGTAAATATACGTGTGTACTGACATTTATAGAAAAAGGCTGGAAGAAATATACCAAAATGTTCACATTGCTTATCTCCAGGTGTTGCTCTTTATTCTTTTCTTTCTCTCTTTTCTATGGTGGACATATATTATTTTTGTAATCCTCAAACATAAATCAATGGAATAATTATTTAAAACATAACAGTGGAATATCTAAATGGCGAGGAGCCACAGCCCTATGGGGGACGGCAGGGTGTTAGAGCTGAGAAAGATGAGTCAGGGCCAGGATGCTGGGAGGTGTCAAGAGTAACGTGCAGTCGGGCCAGATCAGCGACCGGGCACCTCTGGGCGTTATCCTCGCGTGGGCTGGTCGCTTGGCAGCAAGAGACCCCAGTTCCTTTCCCCCACCCCCACCCCCACCCCAAGACTGTGCCATGCTTTCTCCCCCCCTTTCCCCTCGTAGGCTCGCTCTGGGTCCGCCTGGAACCCCGTG